TTAACATTACATTACATTTACAATACATTACAGTACATTAGACTACATTTGATCATAATAATAATCCAGTGGATCAACTGATATGAGATACCCAAAGTATGAGTTACAGGCAAACTTGGGCAAATCGTGTCAAATTTAATCTAATCAATAATCCACACTACCTGTGGATAATTCAATGCAGCCGATAAGTGTGGTATATGCATTACGAGTTAGAATGAGAAGATATTTGCTTTATAAAGTACAACTAGTGCAAAGAAATCCATGTTTTTGGTTGGAAACTGGATGTTTCAAATGCCTTGATTATTATCAATATTATCAATAATACTTTAGGATGTAACAAGACAGAAGAACAAGAGGACACGGATTTGGACAGCAGTATTTCTTTACTCAGGGTGATTACTGACTGGACCAGGGTTAGCAGGAAGGTGGTTGAGGTCTGGACACTGCGACTCATTTAAAAAGCAGCTCAACGCATAAATGGGGAGGGTGGGCTCTGGGTGTTCTCTGTAGGGATGAGATCAGATGAGAAAGGGTCTCCTTCCATCAGACCATTTGGATTGGCCACCAAAACAATCATGGAAATACCAAAATAGCCTAAAATTATGCCATAAATCAAGCAATATTCAATCAAGAAACATTTACTTTGTTGGCCGACCAAAGAGATTGGTCACCACTGATCCAGACCGATCTTCTCGTGACTTCTCTCCCTCAATCCCTCCGCCTTGCCCCCTCCTTCCCCTCTTTTAGATTACAACGGAAGCCTTACCTCTTCGTTGATCTTACGGTCACCTCCCTCCGTGCCCCCGAGATGGTGCCCCACGTTAAGGGCGTTGTGTAAATGCAAGTTGTTGTTGTTGCAGCAGGTGACATGGCGGGGCTGAACCTGACGTTTAGTGCCAGTGGGTTTTTGGGGATTTATCACCTGGGGGCCGCGAGTGCCCTCCTTCGGCACGGCAGGAAGCTGCTGGGGAAAGTGGACAACTACACGGGGGCGTCAGGGGGGGCTCTCGTCGCTGCCGTCCTGGTCTCAGAGCCCGAGAAGCTCGAGGTACAGACCCCATCCCAGCTCACACTCACACACTAACTCACATGCTCACTCAAACAAACTCATTCACATGCTCGCTCACACGTTCACTCACTCGTACGCTCACTCACTCACTCATGCTCACGCTCATTCACTCTCATGCTCACTCGCACGTTCACTCACTCGCATGCTCACTCACACTCGCTCACTTGCACGCCCATGTGCACGCTCACTCACACACTCACACTCATTCACACAATCACATACACGCTCACACACACTCACGCTTACTTGCAAGCTCACTCACACTCACATACACGCCCACTCACACATTCATTCACACACTCACACATTCACTCACTCAGGTGGACATTAAAGATCTCACTTTATTCAAAAAGAGAAGGGAGTTTCTCTCTCCCGGAGTCCTGGACAAGAACAATAATAAATATATAATAATAAATATATAATAATATATAATATAATAGTTTTTTTTAAAAATGTAATATTACTATTTATTATTTAGGATAAACCAAGTGAATCTTATCCTGTTAGTATCCTGTGAAGGAATTTACACTTTGATCTCTGGTGGTGGAATCCAGAACACGGGGATCATCTTAAAATTAGAGCCGCGCCATTTAGGAGTGAAATCAGGGGCAGGTTTTCACCCAAAGGCCGGTGGGGATCTGGAACTCTCTCCCCCAAAAGGCTGTGGATTCTGTGTGGATCCATTCACATTGTCCAGACTGAGGGGGAGAGATGTTTGTCAGGTCAGGGGATCAGGGGATATGGGGCAAAGAGGGGTAATTGGAGTGGAGGTACAGATCAGCCGTGATCTTATAGAATGGGGGAACAGGCTCAAGGGGCTGAATGGCCTCCTCCTGTTTATATGTTACATACAGATGCTGGTGGACAGCATTCAGGGTGTGAGAGGGAGTGGTGTAAGTCTTGAGATGTACTACTTAAGTGAGGTGCTTTATAAAAATCAATTTTTATTGTATTATTTATAGAATACAACAACCACAAAATTACATTTGTATAGCGCCTTTTATGTCAGGAGGACATCCCAACACGTTTAGCAATAATGGCTTGACCTCCGAGCCTGGAGTGAGAGCCGAGGTGGATGGGGGTTGGGGGAATGATGAGTGAAAGCACAGTCAAAGAGGTAAATCTTGAGATAGACCTTGAACAAAGTGAGAGAGTCCTGTAGCTCAGCGGTTAGACACTCCCCTCGCCAGCGAGAGGACCCGGGTTTGATTCCGGGCAGAGAGAAACCTGAGGCAAGTTTCCTTACTCCGCACCCCTCTGTTTACAGCAGTGAGTAGGATCCGCTTGTTAGTCGATTGGCAGATTGCTTTTCTGGGGTAAAAATCCCTCCAAGATAATAAAACATTTTTAAAAGATTAATAATTTGGTTAATCCACATCTGTTTGTGGGACGCTGCTGTGCATAAGTGGCTGCCGGGTTTCGCCCACAAAATACACAGTCACTACACTTTACAGAATATTGTGTGAAGCGCTTTGAAATGTCTCGAAGACGTGGTAAGGCGCTATATCAAATGCAAAGATTACTATTATTTTAATTTCAATTATTTCTACCCTCCCTTTCCCACCCCCCCCCCCCCCCCTTCCCCCAGCAGTTTTGCAAACAATTTACTTACAGATTTGCAGCTGATGTGAGGAAGCAGAGATTCGGGGCACTAACCCCAGGCTATGATTTTATGAGGCAACTGAGGTAGGAAGTGAAGCCCTACGTTATCAGCTGAAATTCCAGCAGGGAAATTATTGTTAATAATAACGATAACTGTTGGGTTTGATACAGTCCCCTTATCACGTCCTTCACGACACTCCCAATGTAGCGCTGGAGGAGCGCTGGGGGAGCGTTGCCCTGTGGGAGGTGCCGTCCTTCAGATGAGAGGTTAAACTGAGGTCCCGTCTGCCTGTTCAGATGGATGTTAAAGATCCCGCGGGGGTATTGGAAAAGAGAAGAGAGTTTTTCTCTCTCTCTCTCCTGGTGTCCTGGACAACAATCCCCCCAAAAAATTGGTCACTCACTTCATGGCTGTTTGTGGGATATTGTTTTGTGCAATTGGCTTTGCAGTATATCCTGTGAAGCGCTTTGAGATGTCTCAACGACTCAAATGCAAGGATTATTATTATTATGATTGAACTCAGTCTTAAAAGTTCCAATTGAAAATTTGGATGACCGATTTTGTTTTTTTTTGGTGGTTTGTCAGCCACGAAACCAAGTCTTTAATGTCCACTTGAACGGGACTCAGATGGGACCTTGGTTTAAGATCTCCTCTTCCTCTGACAATGTGGAGTCCTGTAGCTGAGTGGTTAGAGAACTCACCTCTCAAGTGAGAAGAGGAGGGTATTGAGCTTTGATTCCCAGCAGGTCAGGGAATTCCTTGGGCAACTTTCCTCACTCCACAACCCTGATAATCCCTCAAGAAAATAAAACAGTAATAAATTGGTCACTTCAAAACCACGACTGTTTGTGGGACACTGCTGTGCCCAATTGGCTGCCGCGTTTCACCCACAAATATACAGTCAATTCACTTTACAGTCTATTCGGTGAAGCGCTTTGAGACATCGAGAAGATGTGAAATGCGGTATATCAAATGCAAGGATTATTAATGCGGTATTGCCCCACCAACAACAACAAATGGCATTAATACGGCACCTTTCACATCTGGAGGATGTCCCAAGGCGCTGGACAGTCAGGGATTTGGACCCGAGCGGGGGGTTGGGATCAGGAGGGGAGGAGGGCAGTGAGGGTGGGGGTAGGAGGGTGACCGAAGGTGCGGTCGAAGAGGAGGGTGTTGATGTGGAGCCAAGGGAGGTAGCGAGGAGCAGGGAATGTGGGATGGAGTTCTGGAGGGTGGAGGCAGAGAGAAGCTGAAGGCCCGACCACCGATGGTGGGTGGGTGCATAGGGTGGGGGGGGGCAGGGGAGCTGTGGTGCAGCCCGGAGCCTGAGAGCGGAGGGAGCGGACAGGCACAGAGCACTGCGCTGAGGGGATTCCCTGTGAGTTGAGAGCACGGTTGCTGAGTGCTGCCCTTTGTCTTTCTCACCTGAAGGGAAGGTATGGAGGGAATCCTCTCGGCTGACGCGCACCAGAAAGCTCACCTGAGGCTCCACGTCTCGATCACAAACATCAAAACCATGAAAAACTACCTGGTTTCCTCCTTCGCTACCAGAGAGGACTTCATTACGGTAAGTCATCCGGGGATTTGTTTTTTTGCCGTCTGACACGTGGGGAAACCCTTTGCTGTGTTTAAGAGTCTCCAAAACCAACTGAGAATTCCCTGCATCCTATCTACACATGGAAACCCCAGAGAGAGATTGCTGGGATGGAATGCGCTCTCTTTCTCTCTCTCCGGAGGGACACATCCTGCTTACCTAATTCCGGAGAGTATTAGGCACAGGTTGGCGAGAGCCAAGGCTTGGGGGGGGCCCAGAGTGTGTGTTGGGGTAACTGCTGGAGTCTAACCGGCTAAACCCACACAGCTTGGCCATTGCTATCGCTGTCTGGCCAAGCTTTCCTAATATTTTTTATTATTATTATATTGCAGTTTAAATTACTCTGTAGAGATAATTTCGAAATGGTTTCAGTGATGGTCAGCCATGTCACATATGAATGGATATTACTTTTCTTAGTATGTTTGAGTTTCCTAAAATAGCTGCTTTTTGCAGCAGTTTGATAACTTGTACACCAGGTATTTTGTCAGCCATTTCTGAATAGTCTTATTAAAGGCCCCAGTTGCACCGATGATTATAAATTCCCACACATGTCTGTGTTTCGTACAAAATATACAGTCAATTCACTTTACAGTGTATCCTATGAAGCGCTTTGAGACGTCTCCCAGCGTGAAAGGTGCTACACAAATGTAATCTTGTTGTTGTTGTTGTCTTGAAGACCTGATAAGGCGCTGTCTCAAATGCCAAGATTTTTATTATTATTCAGTTTGTGGATTGATAAAGTTTCTGATTTTCTCTAATTCCTTATTTTTTCACATCAGAATCACTCGGGACAATCACATCAATATATATATATGTTATACATAAAATCATTACCAGTATTATTTCTATGATTAATTATTATTTAATTTGTTTCCAGATTCTTCTTGCCAGTAGCTTTGTGCCGTTCTATGCTGGGGTGAAGCCGGTGGAATACAAGGGAGAGGTGCGTTGAGAGTATCTCAATAGAGAGGGTGTTAAACTGTTGTTCCATTGGTTCATGGATAAGTAAAGTTAAGCAACAAGATGAGCCACTCGGGGGCATCCCATAATATAGTGGTTAGAGCACTCACCTCACAAGCGAGAGGTCCGGGTTCGATTCCCAGGCAGGGTGAACCCTTAGGCAAGTTTCCTTACTCTACATTCCTCTGTTTCTCTAATGGTCAGTAGGAAACCGTTGATAGGACAATTGAAGGATCGCTTTCCAGGAGTAATAATCCCTTAAAAAAAAGACTGTGTGTTGGAAACTACTGTGAGCAATTGGCTGCTGCGTTTTGCCCACAATATACAGTCGATTCACTTTACAGTGTATCCTATGAAGTGCCATGTGATACTGTGCTATATTGAATGCAAGGAATATTATTATTAATAATTAATAACTGCTGCACATTCAATCCTTGTTAAAATGGAACCTCTTTCTCTTCAGACCTGGATTGATGGGGGATTAACCAACAGGCTCCCGATCTTGCCCACGGGCCAGACCATAACCGTTTCACCCTTTGATGGCCAGCTTGACATCTGCCCGGAAGGTGATGGGAGAACGCGTCCTTCCATCAGAATTGCAAAGCAGGACTTCATAGTAAGTATCAGAGTTCATGGAATCATAGACATTTACAGTATTAGAAGGAGGTCATTCAGCCCATTGAGTCTGAATTGGCTCTCAGAGCAATGTGTTCATTCAACCCCACTGCCCCATCTCCATACCACTTCCTGTCGTGGAGTAGTTAGAGCACTCACCTCACAGGCGAGAGGATCCAAGGCAGAGTGAAACGTTGGGCATTCCTTACTCCACACGCCTCTGTTTACCAGCAGTGATTAGGACAGTTGTTAGTCGATTGGTGGATGGCCTTCCCAAGGGTAATAATTCCTCCCCCTGTCACAAAAAATGTGGTCTAACACCCACAACTGTTTGTGGGACACGGCTGAGAGTGATTGGCTGCTGCAAAAAACACAGTCAATCCATGTTACAGTATGTCCTGTGAAGCGCTTTGAGACGTGTAACCAACATGATAAGGTGCTATATCAAATGCAAGGATTATTATTATATTATTGCTTCAAGCCTTTATCCTTTATGAGGATAAACCTTTCTACTTCCCACTAAATACCCACAGGGGACTGTGAATTTACTGATTGACATGGCGTCCACGTCCTAACAAGCCTCTTGAGTCTATCTCTCTTTCCCTCCACTGCACCATCGGTGGCTGTGCCTTCAGCCACTACACCCCCAAACTCTGGAACTCTCCCTTTCGATCCCTCAACCTTACCCCCTCCCTCCCCACTTTGAAATCCCGCCTAAAGAACTTCCTTCTTAAATTTATTAGGGTGCAATTAGCGGAGTTCCTTATTTGACACTGTACAGTATATTCTGTGAAGCGCTTTGGGACGTCCTCCCGACGTGAAAAGCGCTATATCAAATGCGAGGATTATTATTATTATTATAAACCATCACCACTAGATGGCAGTGCAGTACAACAAAAACAACAACAACTTGGATTAATATAGTGCCCTCCACACCACTCAGTCTCAGTAGTCACTAATTGCTTCCTTTTCAGTGGGGTGGAGGGGGGGGGGGTGTGTGTGGTTGAGGAGTGGAAGAAGAGGACGGTGAGGAAGATTATAATAATAATCCTGGCCTTTGATACAGCGCCTTATCACGTCTTCTAGACGTTTCAAAGCACTTCACAGAATATACTGTAAAGCGAATTGACTGTGTTTTGTGGGTAAAACGCGGCAGCCAATTGGGCACAGCAGCGTCCCCACAAACTGCCGTGGGTCGATTGACCAAATTATTATTATTTCATTTTTTTGAAGGGTTTATTACCCCGGAAAAGTGATCCGCCAATCGACAAACAACCGTGTTCCTACTCACTGCTGGTAAACAGGTGTGTGGAGTAAGGAAACTTGTCTAAGGTTTTGCCCGGGAATCGAACCCGGGTCTTCTGGCTTACGAGGCGAGTGCTCTAACCACTGAGCTACAGGACTGTGTAAAGGCCACAAAGATGAGGGGGGAAGAGAGCGAGACTTGTTCACAGCCTCAACTAGAATTAATGACATTTTTACTTATTGCTGCGAAGACTAATTATTCTGTCAAAACTCAACATCTATTCTCCACGCAACACAGAACTCGTCCTCCCCTCACGAGGACGGGAGCCACATGCACACGCGTGTGTGAACAGGCTCTGTGTGCTGGGTGTTTTGTGTGTGTGTATGTGTGTGTGAGAGCTATTTGTGTGTGTGTGTGTTTGTGTGTGTGTGCAGTGTATATGTGGTGCGTGTTGTGTGTATGTGTAACAACTTGCCCCCTCCCTTCCGACCTTCATATCCTGCCTAAAGACCTTCCATTTTGCTTGTGTTTACGATCACCCCTCTCCCTCTCCCCCCGACTCAGGGTCAGACTCCGCTACTGTCAAGCTCTCTGGGACACTACCCCACGTGAGGCACGCTGCGCAAGTTGTTGTTGTTTTGACTGAGGATCCTTGTATTTTATACAATGCCTTATCACTTCATCGCAGCCTCTCAAACCGCTTCACTGTAAAGTGTAGTGACTGTGCATTTTGACCTTCTCAGCCTCTCACAGATGCCTGTATGATTCCTTCCCATTCTACGCTGCTCCAGTGGAAAAATATTTGTTAGGTCAGTTTATCAAGGGACATGGGGCAAGGAGTTGGAGCTAAACCGGTGCTGAAAAAACTGTATAGTCTGTTGAATACAAATTTTCAATGTCTTTTATTGTGATTTCATGTAGAGAAAGCATGAGCCCTAGTACTGTACTAGGTCACACACTGTAAGGTTAATCTTCCCAGCCGCCTGCAGAGATATATAGAGAGTCTATTCCCTAATCCTTTCTAACTGTCCGTCAAACTGACACTGGCTTTTAATGTTAACGGATACAAAGCTGGGAGACTTTGGTGTCTCAACAAAAGTCCTGCACTTACACACTGGAGGATGGTTGTCAAAATAAATAGATAATAATCCTGGCATTTGACCCAGTGCCTTATCACGTCTTCGAGACGTCTCAAAGCGCTTCACAGGATACTCCTTAAAGTCAATGACTGTATATTTTGTGGGCAAAACGCGGCAGCCAATTGCATACAGCAGTGTCCTACAAGCAGTCGTGGATTGAGAGTCCAAATTATTATTATTTTTTATAGGAAGAGATTATTACTGTTGGAAAGCGATCCGCCAATCAACTAATGAGCGGGTTCCTACTTCCTGCTCGGTAAACAGAGGTGTGTAGAGTAAGGAAACGGCCAATGTTTCGCCCTGCCCAGGAATCAAGTCTGGGTCCTCTCGCTTGTGAGGAGAGTTCTCTAACCTCTGAGCTTCAGGACTCCGCAGGATATACTGTAAAGTCAATTAATGTGTGTTTTGTGGGCGAAACATTCTTGGTCAGGACGCGGGAGTTTGAACCCACAACCTTCTGGATCAGCGGTGAGAGTGCTGCCCACTGAGCCGGGCTTATGATCAGTTGGAGGCAATACGATAGGGTAGTAGTGGTGGCCAACCTTTAGAAAATCACATAAAATGTTCTCGATTGAATAATTCTTGGTTTGTGCCATCAATCAAGAAAAATGCAACCAAGAAAAAACGAACAGAACACAGATCGAACACAAACTTACCTCGACGTGACCCTGTCACCCCATCCTCACCCGATTCCGCTGGCTCCCCCTCACACAGGGGATACAATTCAAGATCTTGGTCCTCACCTTCAAAGCCGTCCAAGGTCTTGCTCCCGCTGACCTCTGCCACCTCCTAACCCCCTACCACCCTACTCGCTCCCTCCGCTCAGCGGGCTCCGGCCTGCTTCACGTCCCCCGCCTTGCCAGCCTTCTGCCACTCTGCCTCCACCCTCTGGAACGCTGTTCCTCAGTCCCTCCGCCTCACCCCCTCCCTCGCCTCCTTTAAGACCCATCTCAAGATACTCCTCTTCAACCGCGCTTTTGATCACCCTCTTGCCCCCCTGCCCTCCACCCTCCGCCACCCCGACCCCCAGTAACACTGACTGTCCAGCACCTTGGGACATCCTCCCGACATGAAAGGCGCTTTACACATGTTGTTGTTGTTGACTGGTGTGAATGTTCAGGGATTCTTGACCACCACTGCAATAAATAATAAATACATAATAATAATCCTCGCGTTTGATATAGCGCCTTATCACCATTGGAGGTCGTACTTTCAGCCACTACCCCACCCCACCCCAGCTCGGAGTCAGGCTCCACCACTGCTTAAGCGCTCTGAGGTACTACCCTGTATGGAGGGCGATATATACGTCCAAGTTGTTATTGCATCACGTCTCCTTGACATCTCAAAGCTCTTCACAGGATATACTGTAAAGTGCAGTGACTGTGTATTTTGTGGTCAAAAGGGGAAACAGTGTGTCAAACGCTCTAATGATATTCTCTCTTTCTTCTCAAACCCCCCCCCCACCCCTTACCTGACCCCTCCTCCCTCTTCTTTCACCTTTAATTGCAGCTGTCCAAGGCTAACTTTGTCAGGGTGAATCATGCTTTCTTTCCACCGAGTCAAGAGAAGATGGAGATCTTGTATCAGAATGGGTTTGACGACGCTGTGAGATTCCTGAGGAGTAAAAGCTGGCTGGACTAGAGAGAGAGAGAGAGAGAGAGAGCTAACAGGAGGGTCTCTGTGTTTGGTGCTCACACACTCATACCCATTCACGTCATAAGGCTTAAACACCTGGACCTAATGATAAGATAATAATAATTTGGTGACTCAATCCACGATAGTTTGTGCGACACTGCTGTGCGCATTTCTCTGCCGCGTCTCGCTCAGAAAATACACAGTCACTACACTTTACAGTATCTACTGTGAAGCGCTTTGAGACGTCTTGAAGATGTGATAAGGTGCTGTATGCAAGGATTATTATTATTATTATTAACACATACATAATCTTCATTTTGCCCCTTCTCCCCACCCTACCTCTTCTCTCTCTTTCTCCATCTCTCCTTTGCTCTCTCCCTCCTTCCCTCCCTCCTTCAATCTCTCATTCTTCCTTCCTCTCTTTGTCCCTCATGTTCCCTGCCACTTGGAACTTTCTCTCTCCCTATATTTCTTTTTTTTAGTTCTTTTACTCTCCCTCCCTCCCTCCCTCAGATTCCCACTTTCAATCTCGCTCTTGCTCTACCTTCATCTCTTTTTCTGTCTCTCATTCCCCCTTTCCTCTTTTATTCCCTCCTCACTCTCCCTTCTTTCCCCCTCTCTCTTTCTGTCGCTCACTTTCCCCTTTGCTCTCTTTATCCCTCTCTCACACTCTCTACGTCGCTCTCTCTCACGCCCTCCCTCGCTCCTTCTCACTGAATCCCTCTCTTTCTATTGCTCTCTTTCACCTTCTCTGATTCTCTTTGTCGCTCTCTTTATCCCTTTCTCTCACTGCCCACTAGCATCCCCCCTCTCTCTCAACCCTTCATCTGCCCCCCTTTTTCTCCCCCTCTCTCCCTCTCTCATTCCCCCTTCGCTCCCAGTCTCTCTCTCTCTCTCCCCCCCCCTCCCAACACCCCCTCTGCTTCACTGCCAATATGTAAAAAACTCAGTCATTCTTAATTGGAACAAACTTTTGCCAAAATATCAGCGTTTGTCCCATCGCTGGGAGCCAGAGATAAAACAATGTGAGGTTAGCTTTGGGTTTAGAGCACTTTGAAAAAATATCAATATGAATAAAATAAATAATGAAACACTGAGCAAATATAAAAACCGAGTTCCCGTCTGTCAACATCCACCAGTACCTGCTCCGGCGGATGATAAATCTATCGAAAAAGAGAAGGGAGTTTCTCTCTCTTCCCCCGTATCCTCGACAACAAACCCTCAGATAAAATGACACAAGCGCTTTCTCCTGCTTCACATCCCCAGTCCTACCATTAGCGGTCAGACCTTTAGCCATTCTGCTCGCTCTCTGGAACTCCATCCCAGAGCCCCTCCACCTTTCCCCCTCCCTCCCTCCCCTCATTCAAAGTCCATCTAAACAACAACATCAACAACAACAAGATTGCATTTATAGAGCGTCTTTCACGTCGGGAGGACGTCCCAAGGTGCTGGACAGTTGAGTCGGGACCCGAGGAGGGGGGAAATGGTCAGGGTGAGGAGAGGGAAGGGAGGGAGCGAGGAGGGGGAAATGGTCAGGGTGAGGGAGGGAGGGAGGGAGCGAGGAGGGGGGAAATGGTCAGGGTGAGGGAGGGGAGGGAGGGAGCAAGGAGGGGGGAAATGGTCAGGGTGAGGGGAGGGAAGGGAGGGAGCGAGGAGGGGGGAAATGGTCAGGGTGAGGGGAGGGAAGGGAGGGGTGAGGAGGGGGTAGAGAGTCGAGAGCGGAGCTGAAGGCTGAAGGTCAAAGAGAAAGGTCTTGAGACCGGCCTTGAAGGAGGAAAGGGAGGAAGCGACGAAGGCACTGGGGATAGAGTTCCAGAGCCTCGGGGTTGAGAGGCTGAAGGCCACCGATGGTCGGGCGGTTGGGGCGGGGGATGTGGAGCAGACCGGAGCCGGAGGAACGGAGGGTACGGGCGGGTAGGTAGGGGGATAGTAGGTCGGAGAGGTAGGAGGGAGCGAGGCCCTGAATGGCCTTGTAGGTGAGGATGAGGATCTTTAAATCTCATGACTTATCTCTTTGACCCCGCTATCGGTCACTTTCTCCCACTCCCCTAACCCCCTGCTCCCACCCCAGACAGCTATGTTAAGTGCGTTAGGATGTCCTCCTGATGTGATAGGCTCCATTCAAATCCAAGTTCATAAATGTTTGCGGAGGTGTTGCTGTGCACAAATAGGGTTCTGCATTCTACAAATACACAGACACTACACAATAAAACATGGTGGGTGGGGGGGGGGGGGGGGGCCTCAGGTGGGTGCTGACTCATGTGGAACCCCATTACTGTGAGTATCCAAACTAAACTGAGAATTCCATCTATCCCACCTACACATGGAATTTCTGTGCCTTGAAAACTATGGACCTGCCTGGCTCAGGCTCCGTGACCCCATCACCCCCATCCTCGCCCGACTCCACCGGCTTCCCATCACACAGAGGATACAGTTCAAGATCCTGGTCCTCACCTTCAAACCCCTCCACGGCCTCGCTCCCCCCCCACCTTTGTGACTCCTAACCCCTTACTATCCTGCTCATTCCCTCCGCTCAGTGGGCTATGGCCTGCTTCATGTCCCCATCTCGCTCGCCCCACAATTGGTGGGCGGGCCTTCTGGCACTGCCCCCACCCTCTGGAACTCCATCCTGCAGTTCCTCCACTTCGCCCCCTCCCTCACCTCTTTCAAGACCCATCTCAAAACTCTCCTCTTCGACCGTGCTTTTGATCTCCCTGCTTCCCTCCTGCCCTCCCCCCTCCCCCACCCTGAACCCCAGCTCGGGTCCAAAATATTAACTGTCTAGCGTCTTGGGACGTCCTCCCGATGTGAAAGGCGCTTTACACGTGTAATGTTGTTGTTGTTGTTGAGTTGTCAGCCTGACTCAGTGGTAGCGCTTTCACCTCTGAGCCAGAAGTCGGGAAATCTTGAACCCACATAGTCCTCAGATGACTCCAATGCAGTGCTGGGGGTTGTTTCATTGCCAAGAGATGCCATATTTCAGATGAGACGTTAAACCGAGGTCCCGTCTTCCTGTTCAGGTGGACGTTAAAGATCCCGCGGCGCTATTGTAAAATGGGGGTTGTGTTTTGGGGGCCGACAGGGAAGGACAGCTCCTAAAGGAAGCTTGTATTTGACTTGGAAACACACGGATATTGTTAATCAGACCAATTTCTCCTGGCTTGGTTGTTGGCTGTTACTCAGGCGGGTTCAAATGAATTAGTCAATTTGCGAGAGAGAACAGATTCTGGGAACATAATGAAGGCAGAGACTCGAGACGGCATGTTTTAGTGCTGAAGGATTAGACGACAACATCAATTAAGACGGGTTGCCTCTCACAATATCTCAACCTTTGCATTCTTTACTGCTAGTTTTTCTTGTGGAGTCCTGTAGCTCAGTGGTTAGACACTCGCCTCGCAAGCGAGAGGACCTGGGATTGATTCCCGGGCAGAGAGAAACGTTGGGCAAGTTTCCTTACTCCACACACCTCTGTTTACAGCAGTGAGTAGGAACCCATTTGCTAGTCGATTGCCGATCGCTTTCCGAGGATAATAAGCCCTTCAAAATATTTTTTACAAATAATTTGCTCACACAATCCATGAGCCTATACTGACTCCCAGTGCAGCACTGGGGGGAGTTGCATTGTCAGAGGTACTGTCCTTTGTATGAGATGTTAAACCGAGGTTCTGTCTGCCTGTTCAGGTGGATGTTAAAGATCCCACTACGCTATTCAGAAAGAGAAGGGAGTTTCATTCTCCCAGTGTCCTGGACATCAAATAAAATTGGTCACCCAGTCCATGTGTGTTTGTGTCACGCTACTATGCGCAATTTGTTGCCGTGTTTCGCCCACACAGTTGTTTTCGGGCTTGTCAGTCTCTTTCATTATTTCAAAAAATATAATGTATTCTGGTCAGATCACTGCGGTAAAAAACAATAATAAAATAACAATGGATCTAGGATTTGAGGTGTTGAAAGCTTTAATAAACTCTGTTCCTGAGGGTTATATTGTATGACTGTTGTAAAGGTTTGTACCTTCTGTTAGTCAGTGTAATACAAGCGTCTGCCCTTGGATGATCTATGTCAGGACTTGCAATTGGACTTGTCTATGTCAGTGCTCCAGGGCAGCACTGGGGGGGGTTATATCGTGGGAGGTGCCGTCCTTTGGATGAGACGTTAAACCGAGGTCCTGTCTGTACCTGTTCAGGTGGATGTTAAAGATCCCGCGGGGATATTGGGAAAGAGAAGGGAGTTTCTCTCTCTCTCCCGGTGTCCTGGACAACAATCCCCAGATTGAATTGGTCACTCACTCCACGACTGTTTGTGGGACACTGCTGTGTGTATCTTGGATGCTGAGCGCTTTGAGACATCTCAAGAATGTGGTAAGGCGCTGTATCAAATGAAAGCATTATTATTGTTATTAGCTCGGGAATTTGGTAAAGATTGCTGAGTGATCCTCCATCCACTTTACACTGTCCCTTCTCCCCCATACACCCTCCCTACCAATTCCCAGACATTATTGGTACAGGTTGGTGAGAGTCAAGGCTTGAGGAGGAATAACCGCTGGAGTTTAACGAGAGAAACCATGCAGCGTGCGGTTGTAAGGTGAGACACCACAGAACAATTGATAAAATACCCAGACAGTGAACTAGCTCCAGAGGGAATCGGTTACAGGGTTTTTTTTTGGGTCGTCCATTATTGATGCCGTTTGTGGCTCTTTATGTGCACTTGTGAAATAATGAGGAATACGTGAAAATGATGTCAAAGTCTATTAACAAGTGCTTTCATTCTCTGTTTTCGTGTAATGTGAACAATTCCTCTAAAGCAAACTGGCGATTTCAAGATCCTGTCTCGACCACCAAAATGGTGGAAATGTTGGAAATGTTTCCTTACTCCACACACGCACACACCTCTGCTTACCAGCAGTGAGGAGGAACCCGGTTGTTAATCGATTGGTGGATTACTTTTCAGGGGTAATAATCCCTCAAAAAAAAATAATAATTGTTCACTCATTCCACGACTGTTTGTGGGGATGTCACTGTGTGTAATTGGTTGCCGCGTTTCACCAACAAAATACACAGTCACTACAACAATAACAACTTGCATTCATACAGTCTCCTCCATGACAGATGACATCCCAGACGCTTAACAATGGCTGAGCTC